CGTCTTGACAATCCGTGCAGATTCTTTTTGCTAGAGGGACAGAGGTGCCTTTGAAAGTTCAAGATGAACTGTTGAAACAGTCACATGAAGCAGTAACTGCACTACAAGATTACGCATCAGACTTCAGAATGCCCCACTCTAGAACACACAGTTCATTAATATGGAAAGTTCCTACCTCTAAACTAATTTCTCCTTTCAGGGCAAGCTAAAATTCAAGTAAATTGAAATGAACATAAAGAAGGAGAAGAAAGAACTTTGTGGCTTGGGATTGCTTTTTGCATCTTACAGTTTACACTTGATTTTGGTTTGTTTTGCCCCTAAACCTAGGAAGAGAAAGAAACATTCAAAGTCTAAAGGGACTCCTGCAATTTGTTTTTGATTACATAGGAGACTGCACAATAAATTAACAGCAAATGAAAAAAGAATTAAGTAATCCTGAATGTTTCAGTGTATTAAAATCCCTTATTTTCAAAGCAGAAATACCATAATAAGATCCATGATCACTAAGAGAGAAGTTGGGACCAGGAAGATAATAGTGAGCAAGGGTAAAAGATAAGGGTATTCTCGTTTCTCCTTTTCCATGTCTTATTCCATGAAAAGATGCTGAGTTCACTCTAAAAGGAGAAAAGAATAGGAAGCAGGTTTTGTCAACCTCTTCACCGTTTTCCTGGTAATCTTCTCCACATCCTAACAAAATCCAGCATCCATTTGTCTCAGGTTATCAGTCTAGACTCTGGCCAGCTTACAGATAATGCCAGCCATATTCTAAGCAGTCTCTCTGATCATCATCTAAATTTGCTAAAAATGTGCTGGTAAGAAAACTCCTTATGCCCTGTGTGGCCTTAAGAGACACTGGCAAATTGTTCTTTTCCTGTTCTGAATAACAAACCAACCTCATAATTACTTCCCTTACTTCAGCTTTAAGGTCAACAACACAGGACAATGCACAAAAAAACCCACTGGGAAAACAGGCACAGAGCAAAGTAAAATGAATAAATTAACCCAGAAAACATGAGTAAAATGCTCAATTTTTTAGATTGATAGGGCATCACGGAAAAGTTAAGTACTTTCTTACACAGTACTATAAACTATACTTTTACACAAGTTTCTGCTGTTCCCTCATATTGGAATTCATCTCTGACAAAGGCTCATTTACATTAGAAAATCGTTGTGGTGAAGGCTACAGACAGCATTCACAGTATCACATATGCAGCAACCCTCACTGAACAATTTTAGGACTAGTATCTCACCTTTACTATAGTTTAGTCAAGACCCTATGACAAGACAAACTCAACACTGTGTACTAACATCAAGCATTTGGCAAATCTCAACAGACAGGGTTTCTTTTCCTGAAATTCATTAGTAATTCTCAGTTTAACATCTTCTTTCTCAGGATAAATTGAGTACTTAAAAAATATCACAACAAATGACTAAAAAGTTAACTGTATTAAGTTATGAAACAAAGCAGTAATCACATTTTTAGATCAGAAGATATCAGAAAAAAATTCCATCAAATACCACCTTTGCAAAAACCTTATCAAAACATCTTAGCCAACGCTCCATTATAAAATAGTAAAAAAAAAAGGAAGAATATTACAAATAAAGTAACTTATAGCAACCTATATGATTGTCAGTGTTCTTCATGATACTAACAGGTTTCAACAGTGTAATTTTTCTAAGTGGAATTTTTGAAAGGTATGAAAATCCTAGGCAGTATACATCAACTTGAGAGTTATATTTTGCTTTTCCTGTAGCTGATCTCAATCATATCCCCTCCTTCAATGCAGGATTTAAAATTCACTGCATGATATTGCAATTACTGTAAGATTTATTTCACTGTATTGTAAAATAGAGCATGCCTTTTTGGCATAGAGTTCTCATTAGCTATGTGCTAACACAGCATCTGAAATCTGTTCTTGGGCAGTGAAGACAGAAGAAATTGGCATTCCAATACTGTTTTTTTTTTCTATTCAGTAGCGTCACTGGAGTCAGAATCAGTAGGGAGACTTTACCTACTGTATTCTCTCCAGGTACTGCTGCAAGGTAAAGCACAAGGTCACAAACCAAGTTTACAGGCTCCTTATCTGAATAACAGCTTGCTATTAAAACACAGTCCTCCACTGGATACATCCCACTTACTGTGCTATGCTATGCAGATGATTAGCAAATGCTCCACAAATTAGATGGTGTGGTTTACTGTGCAGAGAACTCTACAAGAAATTACACTGATTCTGGATCTCACATCATGTGCTCTCTGGCTGAAGACACCATGTGTCCAGGGAGCTGAAATTCCTTGAGTCTGTATCTAGAACCCAGCACATCTGACTTACTGCATGAGTGCAGAAGGCATGCACATACACATTGTTCAGACCCATCCTAAATTTAGAATCCTAATAGAATGTGAAGAGTAGAAGCTAGCAATATGAAATCAGAAAATATCAGCAAGGGTAAGTGAATAGCAAAAGAGAAATAAAAGTTCAACTTTTATTAGGAAGACAAAATGCATGCAAAAAATCAGCATATAAATGCATGGGTGTTGCGCTTTTTAAACTATCTTTCTTTTTAACAGCCTTAACATTGTCACGCTGTTACCTACAGGTATCAAAGAAAAAGAGTCGTAACTACCAAACAAGAATAAGAAATCTCTTTGAGAAGTTCTCCATTAACAAAATCTTGTAACACAAAGACCATTTCCAAACAGAGCTGTTTCCTCTGCTCTTCGTCTACTAATCACAGAAAAAAAACTATGCCACTGTTAAATTCAAATTAATTTTTATTACACAGTAATTGAGGAGCCACACAGCAGCTTCAGCATTGGACCCTTGTAAGGATCTGGGAAATAGCTCTTTTTAGTTAATATTTCAATGTCATTTAGGTAAAAAAGAATAAAATTAATTATTTGCAACAGTGCTTTAAAAGTTATTACAAATTTGTTCATTATGTAATCACAAATCAACATTTAAAACCATCTGCTTTGTAAATTGCTTTTTCTCAGCAGCTAGCTAGCATAACTTAAGCCTGTAAACAAGATTTTTCTAGAGACGTCTGTTAACTTACAAATATATAAAATGTTTATAAGGAAAAACATTAAGGACTCAGTGACTCAGTTTCAATGGCTATCTTGAAAATTTTGGGAATGGGAGGGGAGAAGAGGGAGAATCATTACTAAGATTTTTATCCGTGGTATGTGTGTCACAAAGAATAAAAAACAGCTGGCAGAATATACTCTTCTGTATTCAGAGAAACTAAATATTATACCTCTTTACTTGGGCAATACCACCAGTTGCCTACCTGGAAAAAGTGCAAAAATTCAACACAGCTTGGAAAACACAGGAGAAATTCCCCATTTTTATGGAGCTGTTCTACTTTTTTCCTGATGGAAAACACTGCCAGACATTTATTAATGACATGCCTTCTCAGCCATACATTTACAGAATACAATACCAAAAGAATGTCAAACTGCTTAAACACCTTCAAGCATAAACACATTTAAGACAAAACACATGCAAAGCAGACACTGAGAAAGTTGAGTGTTGAGTGCAAGTCAACAAGCCTTCCACTGTCTTGTTCTTAAATACCAAGTCAAAGCACTAATAATTATTATTTTAAGTAATCCCATCCAAACTTGCCATTAGAAAACAGAAAGCCGCTAACATCCGAATCACCGCTTCTCTGAACTGATCTAAGTGTTCTATTTTTCCTCTGCCAGCTTCTTCAGAGTTGGCACCCTTATCATTTCTAGTCAATTTGGTCAATCTCATGGTGTGCTAGCCAAGGTTTAAAAGGATATGAAAAACTGTGATGGCTTGAACATAACACAGTGTTTATCAGGGCAGGCAAGAATGAAACCTAGCCAGAGAACTTGCAGACCAGCAAAACAGGCTAAGAATTAAGAAGTTTCTTGCAAATTCAAAGCCAGGAGACAGAAGAATTTTTGGATAGACTTGGACTGCAAAATAGGCATGGGAATCGGAGAAAAATTCTCACTAATTCCTCCTTGATTTCTATCAGAATGTTTCAACAACTTGTCCTAGGCTCTGAAAACCCTGAACCTGTACAATAAATGTGTTAAAATATCAGGATTTATTTTTTATCTTCAGAGCTGTCTGGAGAAGCTGATTACGAAAGTATGCCTTGAAACCCAGGACATTGTTTTTAGTCTCCATTTCAATAAAGTTAATCACATGTTCAACTATAGTAATCTAATGTAATCTACTTGAATAAAGGCAGAAAATTCCAACAATTAACAATTTCATCAATGCTTCTGTACTAAAGTCACTACTCAAGGATTATAAACAATCTAAGTCTTCATGGATGACATGGTTCCTAAAACAGTTTGCTGTATCATTCTGAAGACAAATCCAGGGGTATATAAAACAAATACAGTGTTGCATATTAAGCAGTACTAGAGGCTACCAAAGGCACACATTTTCCAGCTGCTGAGATAATCGACAAAGAGGTAAAATTGCCCAAAAGCTGTTATCATCCCAACAATTTGAAATTCTCTCCAGCCATTGCTGAATAGCATGAACTCAAGATTCCAAAAGTAAATCAAGAGCAACCTATAAACTTAACAATATATTTTGGTAAAAAAACCCTCTTATATTACCAACGATGATCCAAATTTGTGTTATTAAAATTGAAACATTACCCAGCCAGGAAGTTTCTTTAAATACAAGCATCTTAACATTCACTATATAACTCTACAGTTAAAGGAAGTACCATGTAATATCTTGTCAGGAGGAAAACGAGGATAGAGCTGAGATATCTTTCAGCAAATTCTGTTGTCCTGAATGGCTACAGAAAAACTCACAACACATTTGTGGAGTTCACTCCACTCCAAAGGTAGCACAATCTAATATTTCCAAAGATTTGCAACACAGGTGACTTATGAGATGAGTCATAAAAATGTAGATAAAGACAAATAGAAGACAATACATTTCACATTATGGAAACAATACCTATGAAAATATGCTGAAAAAAACAGGAAAAAAAATTACCTGGAACGAGTTCCATAACAATATAAATAGGTTGTCGTTGTGTGCAAACTCCTATAAGTTTTACAATATTTGGATGATCATACTGTTTGAGTATTCTGCAAAACACAGTAAGTTTATTATATTAATAAACTTTATTGTACAAATTGATTAAATATTACAGGAAAATGTCTTAAACTCTTGATGTTATTTTAATGGAACATGTTATTACTGTTATCATACAGAAAAATAATAAATCAATGTAACTGACCAATCATCATTCTCTTTGAAATAGAGGGCATACTGATTCCCTAACAAATCAAGATTGAACACAGTATTATTCTTATTGTAATTTTATCACTTGTCTACATGACTGAAAAATGGCCTAACAGGTTTGCAGTTTCTCAAGAACCTTTGTAATTAAGCAGCACTTCAGTGGTGGACCAGAAGCAGAACTACATCAAAAAGCATGCACAGCACGCCTCTGCACTTCCCAGCTGCACTTTTCAAACGCACACTCGTTCCAATTTTACTGTAAGAGATTAAAATATAATAAGCTTTAAAAGACTTCAAGGACAGTAACTTTAATTTTGGGAATTAAACAAAAACATTTACGTCTTCTCACACAATACTTTAATAAGAATGTTTGCAGTCTAAACCAGCATGCTATAATTTATAAGTGAAAGGAAGGGCAAGGAAGAATCTACAGGGACCCTGTAACTTAAACGTCTCTTCTACTATTTGCTGACTTAAAGCATCTCCTCCTCTCCCCCTTTTTCCTAGGATCAAGAATAAAATACTGACCTACCCGGTACATGTATATTTAGTGAGAAATAACACATTTCATTTCTTTTTCGGACTAACAATGGTTCACTAGCGGCAGACTGCTTAACAAGTGAAACATCTCTGCAGTTGCCAAGTTACGAGCTGTTTAAAATTATTCAACAGATACAGTGGCTGATCTTCATTCTCTAAATTTAAATAGTATCTTTTACTTTTCCATATTAATCATACCAGTTTGGGAGTAAAAATGAAAACATATGAAGCTTCATAGCAAGAGGGAGCAAGTTAATTTAAACAATTGTAAAATTATCTTAATACATCCGTCTATCCTGAGGTCTCAGAACTTACCTATCTTCATCAGCCTATATTCAGAATACTTAGGATATTGTGGCATGATTGTCATTTGAAAAATAAGTATGCAATCGCAGGCTGCCTGACACAGCATAAAATATCTCTACTGGAGTGAACTCCTCTTACAAAGAGAAAATTACTAAACAGGGTCTATATGGTAACGTAGCCACATTTGATCAGCACTATTAGTCATGCATGTAAGGTAGGATTTATGACTGGTATAATCACATTTAAATTAACAGCATCTTCCAGTCTTCTTATCTCAATTCTCATGGCGCATCTCAGAATAATTTCTAAATGGAAGCACTTACAAAAACAAAATTGTGTTTTATAGGCATAGCTTGCTTTGCTGAAGACGCCGTTTCAGCAAGTGCAGATGCTATTACATTCACACGTTAAAAAAGCCTATGTTTAGTTACCAGGGCAACAGTTGTGGAATGTACTGAAGGAGAGAAAAAAACCTAAAATGTTTGACTACTGCTTCTTTGAATTTTTCTGAAGGCCAGTCTTTGTAAATTCATCTAGTAATAAAATTTGAAAAAAACTCACAATATAAATTTAGAGAACCTACCTGGCTTCTGACAGAAATTTTATTTTCAATTCCTGAGGAAGATCTTCTTTACACGTTTTTACAGCAACAGGAGTTTTATCCTTTAATGTTCCCTTATACACCTCACCAAAATTACCCTGAAATCAGAGGTAAAAAAAAACAATTTTAAGCCAGTAAAATCTTCACGAATCTCTAGAAAAACAATGCAGACAGATAATATAACTGGTACAGAACTCTGAAATGTGTTTATGAAGCTAAGTGAGTCTTTCTTCCAGTATCTGCCCCTAATGGAATGCAGTTCACATGGACATCATACATCTATTACACGGACATAGCATATGAGTTCTACTTTGACCTTGCTTCGGAGAGGAAAAAAAACTTTAGTTGTGTAATTTTCTCTGCAAACCTGTTAGTAACTTCTAAAGTGAACACTGATAGTAGTTCTTTTTTTTCCTTAATCTTACTCTTGCATTCTTTCATTTTCACACTAGTGTCTTTTATCAACAGCTTTTAACTTGCAGTCTGTAAGTGAACACAAGGTGACTTGTGAAACTAGGACAAAACCCATCAAAATAACACAAACATTCTCATATACACAAGAAAAAAAAATCAAAGAAAAGTGAAAACACTGTAAGTTAATTTTGATCATAAATTAAAATCACTGAAAAAAATGTATTGTCATGTCAGCCCTGAAAAAGTTACGTGATCCAAATTTTTTTTAAAAAAGCTAAGCTCAGAACTGCTCTATAAAGGCAAGTATGTAAGGCCTCACATTTGTACAAGACTTAGAAAGTAGTTCCTTTTATAATCAGATTTTTTAGGTCTTCAACAACATATCTGCAGGCTAAGTTGTTTATTTTTTTAGCTCCCATAGGAGAAAACTGAAATAATAAAGACCATAGAATAATCTCCACCAGATGTATTTTTTACTTAAATAAAAACAAAAGGAAAACTAATTAGAACAAAAATTGAAGGAAGAAGGAAATTGTGGGGTCTAGAACAAAACACTGGTATGAATAAAAAAAAACCCAAAAGAACAAAAAAACCTCCAAACTAGAAGATTTCATACTTTTGGATAACTTTTTTATTTCTCAAAGAATAAATACAAATGCATTTAAAACCCATGTCTGACAAATTTCCACAATTCCACTTCTGTCTCCTGGTACCTGGAGCTGCATACAACTTCAACAAACAGCAAAACTCTGCTGAAAATGCTTTCCTTTCTTTCCTGAGTCATGAAGATTCCTTTACATCATGCATTTGAATACTGTATTGCCAAAGGAAGAAGGCAGAAAAGGAGAAAAAGAAACTCACAGGTGGAACATAGTAATGCGCTGCTAGTAAGAAGGGAAGAAATTTAGGCCTAAACACAGGTTTCCAGTATTTTATTTATATTAGGGTAAGTAAGATATAGCTGGCAAGCAAGCATAGGATTTATGGCAGCAATCTGCCCTTCTAAAACAGCACTTCTAGAGGCCAGGACACAACCTCTGATGTCTAAAATGGCACAAGGTGCCTGAAGACGCTGAGTCACTCCCAATACCCTTTTCCTCTAGCCTCCAGTCAGAAGTATTTAACAGTGAAGGCTGAGCACACCTTAAGTAGTACTTCAGTATTTAAAATGTTTTTTTTAATTCATTATCACTATATATATGATTTTTAATGTAACATGTTCCTTTCATACAGCTTTCATTTTGTGGGGTATTACAGAATTAATATTGAGTGAATAAACAGATCATTAACTCCTGAGGTAAATGAAAATATTTGTCTTTTCCAAAGTTTGGATCCTCTTACGCATTAAGCTTTCACGATTTTCCTCCTCACCTTTTCCAGCCTGCTCAAGATTGTATAGACCCTCAGATTTCTCACTTCCATGCGGAATGGCTGTAGCTTATTTAACATTTTCTCATATGGATGCTGGTGGTCGTACCATTCTTATCTTTTCTAGTTTGACTATATTTTTTTAAAGATGGATGCATAACAGACTTATACTGTTTTCCAAGAAAGTTTTTATCCTGTTCCATGTTTTTTACAGAACATATCCTTCTATAATCACTTCTAAGCATTGCGTTGTCTTTATTTCTTGTGCCAAAAACATACATTAATTTCTGATTGCTTTAACTGTCTTTACTCATCAAGGCTAATTCATATTTATTTTTTAGGAAGACTTTTTAGCAAACCTTTTTTAATGTCTGAAACAGCTTTATTTTTCTTCCTTGATACTATTCTATTTAAGAATGTGAAGCTGTGATAGTACTTGCATTTTATGCACACACAGCTCTGTTTGCTGACAGATACTTTTTGTCATCTTATGCTGTGTAAGAGATTTTATCCTTGATAACAGTATTTAATTCCCTCATTTCTTGAACAGTTTATCAGTTCTTTTACCGTGTATCATAGTAAGAAGGTAATTATTGCTTTCACTTTTCTTCTCCTCATTTAAGCCTATTTTTCAGTTTTGGGGAAATGTTTTGGAACATTGTGACCAGAGTGGTACTCGCAACTGTCTTTGTAGGTGGAAAGGTGCTAAAAATGTAAGTGAGGTATGGAGCTTACCTGATTTTAAAGACTCATAGCTCCTAAGCAGAATCTGTGATATGAACTACACTATACAAGAATTAATTTAACACATATGCCATGGTGAAGTTACCTAATGTTCAATAAACTACATAAAATCAATGAAAATTTAACAAACAGTTTAAATCATCATCTAATATCAAATTTTATACATAAATACATAACTTTTATAAATACATAAACACAAATCTGTTTATGTTATGTTTTTATTTATATTTTGCAACAACATATTTTGTAAGGCTCCACAAAGTAAAACAGCCACATCATGTGTTATAGAAATCCAGTTAGCTTAAAAGCCTTCCAAAAGAGAAAAATATGTATGCTAGTTAAACACTATCAACACATACATGATTTCATTTACCAGCATCTTATTTACATTTGTTTAAAGCGTACTGCTTTCTTGTGTATTAAAGTAAAAGAATTTGTACAAAAATTGCAAACCAGAGTAATTTAAGATAAGGCAAACAGGAAGAATAGACTTAATGACTAATATACACTTATTTAAATGGTATTTCTATTGATTACTCACTTTGCCCAGTAATTCTCCCAGTGTGACATCTTCATGATTGAGAACCCATTTCTTATCCTATGGAGAGAAGAGAAAAATTTTCAGTCTGTGCAAATATGTAAGATATCACTTCTGTAGAACTGGAGCTAAAGAAGCATTATATCCAGACCACTCAATCAAAAGCATAACAGGAAGTTATAAATCTAAGTGTTTATAAAACAGAGTTTAGTAAACGTGCTATACAATAAAAATACTGAAATATACTGTGTAGGAAATTTCTGTCAAAGGATTAAGCCTACAACATGACAGGAGGTAAGCACATAGAGCACTACGCAAATTTTCACACAAGCTTTGGAAAGGATGTCTAGCATCTCGTTTTTAACAATTACTTGAGTCAAAATCAGATAAGAAAATTTCATTTTAGTATATGAAATAACTTATTGCTGGGTCAAAAAACATTTTTGTCAGTGTACATGAAAAAAACTAATTTTTCTACTTATTAGTGTATTTGCATCTCTTACCTCTTTTGTGTTTGTTTGAAATTTAACAGGCAACTACTCGAAAAGACAACATAACAAATGCCAGCTCTCAGTGATGACTAACACTGCAAACACTCTGCAACAGCCTACAGACATATCAAAAACCACAACAAACTTTTTGCTACATGTTAGAGTAGGGTATTTTAGGTCTAAACCATATTTACTATTTTTTCACTTTACTCCTCTGTTAGCATCTCATCTACCTATCACCTCACAAACACTAATATTGCTCCTCATGTCCTAAGCATTCTTCACTACTAATGAAAAAGGCAAAAATCAAGGCCAAATCATTAAAGCATTTCTCAGTAAAGCTCACAGAAAACCAAGCCAAACATGCTGGTTTTGATTACACCTAATCTATCAGATTACGAGTTTTTCTGGACCACGGAGGACCTGCAGTGATCCTGACCGGAAGACTGCTGTACATCAAAGTGTTAGTGATCCACATGACATCTAACAGGAGCAAGCCCAGGACCGTGCTGTGATGCACAACTCCCGTGGCTGTGAGATGAACTCAGCCAGCACGCTACAACAGAGCCCGCAGGCAGCTCCTGCTGGGTACCAGCAATTACGCCACCTGCGACGCCTTGCCTTCATCTCCAGGTGCTGTGCTCCAAGAAATTCTCATGTCGACGTCCTTTCTGTTTGCCAGTAGAAATAATGAACAGAGTTGTTTCCCTGTAATGAGCCCCATTATAGCTCGAATGACCAAAATGGGTGAATTTCTGTTACAGGCAGGGACCGCCCAGCATGCTGCATGTGGATCAGTGGCTCATTCAATGTTACACCACCCAGGGCTGCCACCATCTAAGGGGATGCAAGACTGTCTATACTATTCTCTCCTTTCAGTGCTAGCTCTAATAGTATTTTAAATGATACCTTACAGACTCTGAGTGCCTTTCTTACTGGGATCATAACAGTGTCTCCTGGTGCGAAACAGAATCTTTCCAATGTGTGTGTATAAATACCTGATGTCAATGAATGAGGAAATGGGAGCCAGACTCTTCTCAGTGGTGCTCAGAGACAGGACAAGAGGCAATGGGCACAAATTAGAAAACAGGAAATTCATTCAGAACATGAGGAAACACGTTTTTAGTGTAAAAGTGGTCAAACACCAGAACAGGTTAACCAGAGAGATTTGAGAGTCATCATTTGTTGAGAAATTCAAAACCCAACTGGACACAGTCCCGGGCAACCTGCAGTAGCTGACCCTGCCTAAGTAGGGAGGTTGGACTAGAGAATCTCAAGATACTCTTCCAACATAAAAGAGTCTGTGATTCAAAGAGAGAAAAACCTTCTGTATGTAAACAGATCATAGAATCACCAACCCTTCCAACCCATAGTCTGGGTTGGAAGGGACCTTTAAAGATCATCTAGTCCAACTCCCTGGCCATGAGCAGGGACATCTTTTACTAGATCAGGTTGCTCAAAGCCCTGTCCAACCTGATCTGGAACGATTCCAATGATGGGGCATCCATAATTTCTTTGGGCAACCTGTTCCTGTGTCTCACCACCCTCATCATAAAAATTTCTGACTTATATTCAATTTAAATCTACCTTAATTCAGTTTAAAATTTTTTCCCCTTGTCCTGTCACTGCAGGCCCTGCAAAAAGTCTCTCTCCATCTTTCTTCTAAGTCCCCTTTAAATATTGAAAGGCTGCAATAAGATCTCCTCAGAGACTTCACTTCTCCAGGCTGAACAACCGCAGCTCTTTCAGCTTTTCTTCATAGTAGAGGTGTTCCAGCCCTTTGATCATTTTCATGGCCCTCCTCTAGATCCATTCTAACAGATCAATGTCTTTCTTGTATTGGGGATCCCAGACTTGGATGCAGCACTCAAAGTGAGGGTCTCACAAGAGCAGAGTAGAGGGGCAGAATCACCTCCCTTGACCTGCTGGACACCTTTCTTTTGATGCAGCCCAGGATACAGCTGGCTTTCTGAGCTGCAAGCACACATTGCTGGCTTATGTTCAATTTTTCACCCACCAGGATCCTCAACTTGTTCTCCACAGGATTGCTCTCAACCCATTCATCCCTCAATCTGTATTGATATCAGAGATTACCCCGACCCATGTGCAGGACCTTGCACTTGGCCTTGTTGAACCTCATGAAGTTCACATCGACCTTCTCCTCAAGCCTATCGAAGTCACTCCAGATGGTATACCTTCCCTCTAGTGTATCAGTTGCACTACTCAGCTTGGTGTCATCTGCAAACTTGCTAAGGATGCACTAAATCCCACTGTCTATGTCATTAATAATGCTATTGAACACTACCAGTCCCAATACCGATCTTTGAGGGACACCACTTGTTCCTGATCTCCATTTGGACATTGAGCCCTTGACTGGGTAACTCAGTCAAGTCAAATCCCCAGTAACTCTTTGGATGCAGCCATCCAGTCTATTTCTTATCCATCAAATAGACCAACCATCAGATCTACTTCTCTCCAATTTAGCTAAAGGATGTTGTGTGAGAAATTCGCTCTCTTGTTTTAGGAACAAGTAATATGTAACATGCTAGATCAAGCTGTGTTATCTGCTAGGAAGCAGGTATTACACTAAAAAAAATTTCTGCCAAAGACCGAATCCTAGCAGAAGGCATTGCAAGAATTGTCACTGCCTTTAACACATTTTTGAATTTAAAAGAAAATGTAGAATGTACAATTATTTTTTTTTTAATTAATAGTGAGATAACCAAAAAGGGAAATTTTGGCACCCTTGGTAAAAAAGCCATTTAAAAAATCATACACATATGCCCTGACATGGCTGAACTCTAGGTCGCTAATACAGAACACTGAGTACAACTTAACTACAGAGCTTCACGAAAGACCTTTTCATAAAATAAAGCTTGAGATCATCTTAAAAGAAGGTGAAATACATATTTTTTTGATTTTTTTTTTCGAACGGTGAAAATTCTTCTTCCCCTCCAGATGTGGGCTAAGTCTGTAACAAAATATTCCCCATAGGCAGCACTTTGAATCAGCACTATTTCCTTTGACCTACACAACCAGTAAAGTCTGCTGTCAACTCTAAAGGAAGACTTATGTCTCCCTCTTTTTGCAAGGAGAAAACCATTCATCAGATAGTCCAGAGATATTCTGGGTAACTGAAAGAACAAAAGGAGTACAGAAGAGTTATGCTGCACAGTGCACCTTGCGGTGAAGGTGGCTACTCATTACTATCCTCCACATACCCTCCACCAACATGGATTCAACAGAGAAAAAAAAAGGGGGGGAGGGGGATCATTGTTATTGGGATTTCCATGCTTTTCTTCTTATGTATAATGTCACAAAATCAAACAGGTCATTGCTCCTATAAGCTGTGCTCAGTGCACATTCTAGACTCTCTGAATGCCTCTATTCACCCAAACTTCCAGCACGCAACTGCTATCAGGCCCATCACATGAATTCGTGTACCATGCCACCCCATTGTGTGATGGGATCCACACCTTGCCATTCCTCTTCTCTGGACGGGGCACTGGGAGACTTGCAAGGAAATTCTCAATAACCATCAACTGATTTTTCTCCTATAGACAAGATTCTTGATTAAAACTACTGCCTCACTGAATGGACATCATAAGCAACGTATTTCCTTCATCTCCTCCTTTTGATTTTGCTGAAAACCACAAATGTTCTGCTCACTGAATATTTTTTAGGTATTTTTTGCTGATGGGATGCCTCATTTAGAAGCTGTTATACTCTAAACAGATAGGAAGCGCCATCAAACTGCACACTTTCCTTTACCAGTAAAACTCAAGTTGAAGAAAATAATTTGCAAAGAAAGCTGTAAAGAAAAGTCCCACAAAATTGACTACTCGGAGATATTAACATAATGGGTTTTAACATTGGGATAAGGACTGTAAAAGCCAAAAAGTTATAGAATTAAAATTAATGGATTTTTTTACCACATAATTCCAAGCATTCAGCACTTCAGTGAATAACTTTTTGAAAATACTGACAACATGGCATTTCAAAGGCTTGTTTATGAAGAAAAACACTGATGCACAATCCCTCAGAGGACTAATTAAAGAAAATGGCACCATAAACTGGAATCAAATGCTCTGTTGAAGGACTTTTTTATAACTGTATCAGTACATTAATCACTACCTGTACTTTTCTTTTTATGAAAACTTTCAGTTATTTATTACAACAGTGTAACCCATTCATTATATTATCATGGTTCTGCCAGATTTTTCACAATCAAAGGATTATTCAAATTTTGACCAGCTTTGTTAATGAAGTTCTTGCTGTTGGTTTAGAAAAGAAGCCTGTAATTTTCTCCCAAGAGTGTAACTTCCTCCTAAGGTACATGACTCTTCATGCACTGAGAGGCTGGAAACCTAATTCAGTGCTTTGTATCCTGTGATGGTATTGAAGCACTTCCAACTACGGCCCCTATGTCCAACTCTTCAGCTGCAGATGGTCCCTCTGTCCCATAGCACTAGTCAAGTTGAAGAAAGCATTTCAAGTAGAAACATTAAGTTAAACAAGGCTAGAGCTTCACATGCATTACAGTTTAATCTAGTATCTTAAGGCACTTCT